ATATATATATATATATAATGATCTGCTCAATGGCTTCAAGATATTCTCCAAAAGACTTCTGGCCAGTCATACTAAACAACCAACAACGGATGACGCGAGGAGAGTTTAATCAACTAAAGGAGACTTGCGTCTTCGATCTTCTATTAAGCTTCGAGTCGTCGTGAGATCGAACGATCTACCTCTCTGTATGGTGTTGATTTCCTTTTTTATAAACATCAATTTTATTTGAGCCTCCCACTGCATGGTGTTGATCTCCTCTTTTATAAAGATCAATTTTGTTTCAGCCTTCAACTGCCTTTATCGGGGAGTTAAGATCCATCTTTGCTCACTATGGCGTCATCCCCGCCTAGATTATGTCCAACATAATAGCAGTCATCATGACCTTTATAGTCTTATGCCATCGGTCAGAGATTCTGTGGTTTGTAAACTCTTTAGCTAATTATTCTCATTTTGGATTGGTCCGAATTGATTCGCAAATTACAGTTTTTGGGTCTGGAGAATAAGGTGAACGCAATGATTTAATAAGTATTTAAATTATTTAATAAAATTTAAATAATAATATAATAAATTTTTAATATCATTTTTAATGATTTGACAAATAATATTTTAATTTAAGATAATAAATTTTAACAATTTTCTAAATAAAAAATTTAAGACATGTTATTTTATATATTTTTTTGCTTGAATATCTTACTTATGGTCATTCTATCTAAATTAAAATTTTAAACTTAAACAATATATGAACTAATCAGTTCATTAAAAATTAGATTGTCTAACCAGTTTGCCGGTTCAACCCAGATTTTCACCAGTTTAATCTCGATTTTATGAAATAACAGTTATAAGTATCGACAAAACCAATTCAATGATTGGTTCACGGTTGAATATGTTGGTTCGTTATGCTTTTTAAAGCCATGGCTATTAAAGCTTCTAAATATAAAATATATGAGGCGAACTATGGCTTTTATGATAACACGATGTTATTGTAGTCACCAACATGACATATATGGCCAACTCATCATACTGCACTCACAAATTATGATATTTGTAGTTAACTACTATCATTACCTTCTCGAATTATGATTTTTGTGGCCAACTGTCACTATTGCAGCCATTGACTACAACATTCATGACCAACTACTACCCAATTATGACCTTTGTGGCTAACTATTATTACCACAATCAAAAACCACATTTGTAGTAGCACAATTATAGATATTATAGCTAAACTACATACATATTTGATTATGATCATCGTAATTTCGGCTTCTATAATTCAAAGAAGAGTTAAACATATGCACTTACAATTGCATAACGAATTATTTTAATTAGACTAGGCCCCATAGTCTTTTAACTTTCCAGGATTTTTCCACATAAAAAATTTTAATCTCCTCCTACTACTTATCTTTTATTTGTGTGCACAATAGATCTTCGTACAACTCTAAAATAATAAAATATCATTCCATCTCCACAAATTTTTCGACACGCAACAATATATAAACTATATGATATTATACTTCTTTACATCTTGCTTTCAAGAAAGTGTTAATGTAAGATATTTTTGTTACATATTGTCCATTAATAATTTATAAAATTGAATTGTACATGTATTGTGTTCATGACGTATTCGTGTGCGTGGCTCATATATAGACAAGCTCTCATTATATTGACCAACATTATAACAAAATATCAATATGTCAATTTAAGCTCAGCTCATTACAAATTTAGCTCACCTAATATCAACTCTGAAAGTTGAGTTGCATGTCATTCTTGCTTATGTGCAGGGTTGAATAAATAAAAGTCTATTTAATGCTATACGCTAAGCTTCAAGACGATAGGTTGTTTAGCTACCCATTCTTTATCTTAAACTTCTCAAATTCATTTTAATTTAATAGACAATGTTTGCTTATTAGAAAGTTAGACGACTTACCAAAGGAACGGTTATCAAACCATTTAAGCGAGAACAAAACAACTAGGATAATACTAAATTTTTTAACATTATATTTTTAAAATAAAAATTATGATTGTAAAGTATATAATAAATATAAATATATGTTTTAGATGTTAAATATGTAAATCCATTAACAATATGTGGAATGTGTGTAAATCTCTTGGAGCAAGTAACATTCATATATGCATGTATACATCTGCCAATCTACATATTCAAGTTGTCGAATTTGTGCAAAAATTTTCTCAAGAGAAAATTCTCAAAATCAATTTAGAAGACTATGAATTTCAAATTCACGATCCTTGAAAAAGTTCAATATAGTTTATATATATATATATATATAGTTCTTGAAGTTAGGTTATTTAAATTTAAAAAATTAAGTTGTATTTATCTCGAACTAAATCCAACAACGTTAGAGTATGTCATGGTCAGAGTTTAATTAAAGTAGCTAATCCAATTCTTGTTTCTTATAAATATTGACACGTTACCTAAAGGTTTACCTGAACATGGATATCTTGAGGTAATATTTGAATTTAAAGACAAGCAAATTTCAATTCAATATATTTGAAAATTGATTTGAGTCAATTCTCCATTAATTACCATTACAAAACTATCACCACGTCGGCAACCATCGACGAATTTATATTATTTGAACATAATTGCCTGATTATGTTCTCCAGGCTATTGTTGCTCAACTATGATCTTTACATCCTATTTTAGCAAATTCCGCGCTTCTGTTTTCTTATAACCTCTTGGCTCAAATCCTCTTACGTCAGAGCTCGACTAACAACTCCTAAAATGTATCTTTAGATCACGGCTCTTAATCATCATTACCCAATTACAATCTCGTCCATCATCATCAAAATACTATTGTTTGACAACACTGAAGTTTAGGAACTTTGATGTTTACAATTACTAACAATTTTGATTCATAACAACACTAATAAAGTCCGATAGATCAGACGCAAATCGAATGCAAATCCAAAGATATTTAAAGGTCAGTGTTGAATTCCCGTTTGATTTTTTTTCAGATTTTGTTCGATTTTAAATTGTGGGCCGATAATTTTATTTCTGTTTAATATACATCGAAATATTCTAAGGCAAATAATTTGTGTCAGTTAAGCTAAACTTCAATTTGGACATGGATACCACTTTACTCATGCACTTGGATAAAACATATATCACACAAAGATTTTCATACATGCCTAACACATCAACATTACCTATGACAGACCATTTCACTAAACAAAAACTTAAATGATAATGATTGATACAAATGAAATTACCTTACTCACTATTTTCTGATTGGAAGGAAGCAAAAGGAGGAGAACTACAAAAGTTTTAAGTAGTCTCTGCACACGAACTTCATCACCTTCCGAGCTAGCTCTAATGATGATTGTATTGCAAAGGTTCGTTTGGGAAGACAATGGATTTTAGTGAAGCCATGAGGGAGAGGGAAAGGGGGCGGTGTGGGGCTTTCAGACAGAGGGAGAGATCCAGCGCGGAGAGAAAATAAAATTTAGGTGGGTGGGATGTGTAAACTAGGCCATTTGCATCGGATTTTTGAAGTCGATTCATATGATTTTGACGCTAGAAAATAAAGTATTTGAGTCGAAGTTTTCGAATCAAATTCGAGCATAATTTATCGCAACTCCAAAAGAACTTTTACCATTTTGATAATACTTTAATCGACAGTAAGCCAACTCAATTCAGTCACAAATGTCATAATTAATTTTTCTCCACTTATGAACCCCTAATCCAATGCTAATATTTACGTCAAAAACATCCATTGCAAATGTATTCATGCTTCTCCTGTAGTGAAAGATAATATCGACGCCACCTAACATCTGCCAGCCTCATTGCCTATTTTCGAGAACAGTGTCAATGCGTGCGATTATCTAAAAGTTTAATGCAATTCATTGACACTAATACAACACATCTGTTTGACTTCAACGATTATCATCAACATTAACTTGCAATACCTTATTGCCTATAATTAAAGCCAATACATATTGTTTCTGCCAACACTAATCTATCCTATAATCATCAACAACATCAATACATATCATCATCATCTAAAAGGGCTAATCAATTCCATCACCACCAATGTTGTTGATGAAATTATTCTTTTATTTGTAAGTAATATATATATATATCTTTGAATATGATTCAGATAAATATTATTTAACTAAATAGAAAATTTTGATTATAAGATGAATGAATATATAAGAATTCAATCATAAAAGTATTTATGTATATCTCATATATTTTTATCTAAATGAAAATACTAATGAAAAATCGATAGATGAAATAAATGCTTGCCAAATAGCAGCATGTAGTCTGAGAACACATGATCCCTTATGCATTACTACGTAATTAATCATTACACAGTTAGCGGCAGTATATCTTCACGAAGAAAAGCTGAACAAATAGCTTCAAGAAAGCTGAAACATTTCTTTACATGAAATTTAAATTTCTCTTAAAAAAGCAAATTTTATTTAAACAAAAAAAAATGCGGATACCCGAAGAACAAACCACAAGCAGCAGAATATTCATCTTCTTCCACTTCTCCCTACCGACGCTTGTTCTTGCTCCCAAGAAGCAAGCAAAAGTAGAACAGGACTCTGAAAAAGAACCCCCACGCAACAGTGATCACCAAACAGCTCCATTTACTAAGATCAGTAACCGCTTGCTGCTTCAAAATGTATGTTCCAGTTGTGATACAAGTATGGCTTGTTATGTTTACTCCAAGCGATCCGCTCATGGCCTGCAAAACATTCACCTTTACCGCCGCCGGCAAGACTCCGAGCGGCGTGTTGTCGAACATCTGAATTCCCCTCACAAAGCACTTCGTCGGATCACCGAACTCATTCTGAAGAACAGCTTCGTAGGGGTATTTCACCAAAGAGAGATAGTGAAACCAAATCCAGTAGTCAGGGATGCGGTCTCGTGTTATGAAGAAGCCGCTGAAGAGTAAAAAGTAAGCTAAAATGGCGACAACGACAGTGTAGCCCAGCATGACATGCGAAACAATTCCTGAAAGAAAGGTGACAAAGCCGCTTCCAGCCCAGAAGGAAGCGAGGATGATAAGGCAGAAGAAGACGAACCCCTGTGCACCGCCAGCGAGCCCAACGGCGAAGAATGTAGTCGCAGCGAAGGCAAGGGAAAGGACAATTAGTGACGGAAAGCCAACAATGGCGTTTGAGAGAACGTAAGACGATCGCCGGTAAGCGTTATAAGCAGTCTCACGCATGAAGATATAGCGTTCTTGTAGAAAAACAGGGAGTGCATCAGCGCAAGTGTAGAACATGGTAGACATAGCTATAGCAAAGAAACCAAGACGCTCTTGAACGCCTTTTGGTGAACTGTCAAGCCGCCAAAAGATGGTGGCGAGAATGAATCCGGTAACAAGAACAGCCCCGAGTCGCATGAGAAAGAGCTCCGGCGTTCGACGAGAATTGGTTGCCGCGCGCTTAGTCAGGACTAACATTTCAATCCAAAACGGGTTAGCGAATGTAGAAACTGAAGCAGAGCCGAGCTTACCGCGTGAAATGCTGGCGCTAATGGCGTCTTTGAGGGACAACGCGTTGTAGTTTTTTTTGGCAGCGGCGGAAATAGGAGAAAGCTTCAAGCTTTGCCACGAACGGTTGAATTCAACGAGGGGTTTGGCTCCAACTCCATCGTTGGAGGATTCAAGTTCGCGGATGAGATCGAGTGCGAACTCAGTTCGGTTCTCTTTCTCCGGTATCGGTCGGCCGAACTCCGCCAAGTAAAGTGGGAGAGTTGCAGGGCTGCCAAAGAAGACAGTTTGGCCGCGTGAAAGGAAGAGCATGCGATCGAGAAGGCCTATGATTCTGTAAGAAGGTTGATGAATCGACATTACAACTATGCTTCCGCTCTGCGCTATGCGCTGCAATACCTTCACGACCATAAAAGCGCTGGTGGAATCAAGACCCGAAGTGGGCTCGTCGAGGAACAGAAGTATAGGATCATGGATGATATCGATGCCAATACTCACACGGCGACGCTCCCCACCCGACACCCCGCGGTGGCCTTCATCGCCTATAATGGTCTTCGCGGCGCGGCGGAGACCGAGCTGGTCGATAAGAGCTTGCACCCTGCTCTGTTTCTTGGACTTCGAAAGGGTACGAGGGAGGCGGAACTCGGCAGAGAACATGAGAGTTTCTTCTACGGTGAGCATCGGGTACAAAAGATCATCTTGCATAACATAAGCAGAGATCGTTCTCAGCAGCTTGGATTCCAGCGGCTCCCCGTTGAGTGTAATCGAGCCTTTCAAGCTTTCTTTAGCAATTCGATTCGCAAGTGCGTCGATGAGAGTTGATTTACCAGAGCCGCTCGCACCAAGAACGGCAAGAATCTCGCCGTCTTTCGCCTCGCCGGAAATCGAATCAAGCAAGGTTTTTTTGTGATTCGACGCGACGTCAGCCGAAACAGGGTCGGTTCTGTTCGGCCCGAGAGAGACCTTCTTGGAGCTTTTCACGCTGTATGTGAGTTCCGAGAAAGATAACACGAAGGGGATAGTTCGAGTCGGGCCGGGGTTGTTCGGGCTAATAATGTCGTCGAGCTCCACCACAAGATGGTCGCCGGAGCTGGCGGCGTCTCCTACCCGCTTCAGAAGGTGGCCGAGTGTCTGCGACTGGCGGCCTCCGGCGCCTCCTCCGCCGCCTACTCCGGTGTGATGAAGAAGAAGGCCATCACGGCCGATGCCTTCTGCTTCCTCCATGGGGGAGGATCTCCGGTCAAAAAAGTGCAGCGCGTCGACAAAACGAGACATTTATCTCTGTATATAACGAAGCAGGATGACTGCGCCGTTATTCACGCGGCTGGGTGGGAAGACGAAGCGGCGAAGGGTAAAGCTCGCCGGAGTACGAGGAAGAAAAAGGAGAAGTGGAAACCGGCAAGGAACCCGAGTTACTCTGATTCAAATGCGTGACAGTATTTATAAGTTTTACTTATAAAGCTATAAATATTTTTTTATTAGAAGGTGGCGAGTGGTGACCTACATTTTAGATTTATAGGAAACACGTGTGCGTGGAACGAATCCGGGCCGTTGATTTGGGGGAGAAGATTCATGGTCCGGTCATTAGAATTGGGTGGGGGGTGGTAAACTGTTTAATCTAAATCCTAACGTATTTCGGAACTTGTATTACAATTTAAACATTGGGGATTAATTGCGGGCGGGGTTTTAATTACTGAGAGGTTGGTTGTTCGGCGGTGTACCCACCGGGAAAGTATGAGAGGGGGGAGGGGAATGGGCTTGATTGTGGGTTATGCTAAGCTTGTTGAAATGGATTTGGATATATTTGCAAGTTTGGGGTGAGGATTTCTTTTCAGTTGTGGAAAATGTTGGGCAGATGTGTGATTTTAAAAGAGCTATTTGACATGTTTTGTGGTTATTTTATTGTATTGGATTATATTGTCTCTTTTTTTCTTTTTTTTTTTAACATTTAATTTAGATGGCATTTGATTTGTTCACCTAAGTTGCTCTCTTCCTTCTTTTTCATGTTTCTTGCTCTTCTTTGAGAGCATATTGGCATAAACTTTTTTTTTAATTAATTTTTTTGTTGTGAGATTTTATTATTTTCTATGGAATCCTAACTAGTCCTTTTGAGAGAACTTGGTGAGGATCATAATTGAAAGAGACAAGAGAGAGAGAGATAGATAGAGAGTAAGAAAACATGAAAATTGAACCCTCTTGAAAAGAGAGGAGAGAGACTGCCTTTATTCCTCTTGAGATTGTCTATTTAAATATATCTAATTAATACAATTAAGGGTGTTGAGAACCGTTATGATAACCGCCCCTAAATAGAATCAATGTGTTTAATTTGAGTGTTATTCTGTGTTATTCAAGTGTTGTTGATGTGTTATTATAACACAAGAATATTCCCATGACATAATAACACATGAATAACATACAATAACACCTGAATAATACGGGAAATATTCTCCTGTGTTACCGGGAATATTCATTGGACTCTGCACGTACTCTACGTGCGGAGTTCTGATGTAATATTTTTTTTCAAGTAGAGGGTCATCTCTGAAACTTTTCATCTATTTCGGGTTTAAAAATGCAGAATCTCATGCTTAGCATTGAATTGTCAGTCAAATCACTTACTCTAAAGATAAACCTCATATTCCTAGTCGTTCATTTTCTTTCAAATTCGTCCCAGTAGTTATGGTGTATACATTTATATAATCTAGTTCTTACATTTTTTTACCATTACACCCCCAATGAGTCACCATTATTAACTATTAATTAGTTGTTCTGCTAATAATAACTCGTGCAAGTCGATCATGCCAATCTAGAAGATGGAGCATTCAATCATTATTCAATCATTAAAGACCATGATCCAACAAATCAATTGTTTGTAAGAATGTTGAATTTTCAAGGATAATTCCTTCTCAAAATTTAAAAGTATACTTTAATTCTTCTTAGTTTCTTATGTCTTCAAATATAAGTTATAGGGTTAATTGTAGGCAATACATGAGTCATGAAAGCTTTGATAGATATATGATGACCACCTCAGCATCCACATCATCGACAAATGTATGAAAATAAAATCCTAACTCACGCCATCTGCCAACATCTCACTCCAATGTTACCAAAGTCCATTTCCTGAAATCATTAATTGCCCTTTACTGACACTAAATATTTGTCGCCCAAATTCGCTTAAACTATCCCTTTTTCAATATTTAATGTGCTCTTAAATCAATCTATCCCTTTTTCTAAAGAAAAAGGAACTAATTTGATGACCTCTACTGAAGGTAAAACAATGACCAAAGAGAAATAATTTAGCTCTCAATATCAAATTGAGATCCATATCATCAATCAAGTTGCTGACATGCATTTTGATTTTACATACAAAACTTTATAATTAATAAAGCATTTTTAAATACAACAAAACCAATATCGCTCAATTCTAAGTTTATAAGGCATTAACTCTATTTACAAGTATGAAATTATTATGTTGATTCTTTTTTATTGTTTGATGAAGTATTAACTTTTTTCGGTCAAAATGACTTGATTTGTCTTTTCATAAGCCTTTAAATAAGCCACATCTCTATGCTTACGTGAAATATTTCTCATGAAAAATATTGCTTTTTTTTATGATTATGATCTAACTCCAACAATTATAATCACCTGACTTTTGATGCCCGACAATGAACGAAGCAAAACATTATTGTTCTTTGCTATCTTTTAAAAGTTGGATAAAACATTGAACCCAAATAAGGAAATAATTAAAGTTCTAAGCAATAACACAAAGCAATAGTTTTTGAAATAACTGAATCATTCTGACGGGGAATCCCAATACCTAACAAGTAGAGGTAGTCATGTCGGGGCAACACAGAGTCATCATCCCAAGCCACTATGACTCTAAGTCAACTTGATCGTGAAGGTAGTTGACCCAACACTTCCAATAATCCTCAATCAATAGTTTGTGAATTGCATTGTCTGCGGGAACCTCAATAACTATAAGGTCAAATGAATGAAATTTCATTATATGACAATCGGGTGGAGCTCCAAGAGGTGAGACTTATTGTTGACCTCATTTTTTGGTCCTGTGTAGCTTCCAGAGTCACATAGAGCTTCTAGAAAGGTCTCAGTGCATTTGAACCCTAAGAAAAAAGTCACATGCCCCTTTTCCTGGCTTGGTGTGGTCACGCCAGGCCCGGGGCATGACCATGCCTAGGTATGGTCACGCCAGGCCCGGGGCATGACCATGCCTAGGTGTGGCCACGCCCCCGTCTGAGCATGGTCAAGCCACCCCACTTCTTTCATTTCTCTCTCGGCTACATCATTGATCCATGACCTTCATCCATGGATCTGCCTTGCAACCGGTCATTCAATCGAGCTACTTAGAACAACCAACAACCGTCCACGATTGTGGAAATCGTTAGCGTAATATGGGCCCTCCATTTCCCATTTAATTGACGGCTTAGGACAGCCGTCGCCGCCTATAAAAGGCAGTTGTTCGTGCCTCGTCCATAAGAGAGTAGAGTGCAATCCATAATGCAGTGCAAGATGCAGTGTGAAAGTGTCTTTCTCCTATTCTCTCTGACGAACATTCTCCTCCTCCGATCAGCTGCCTCCTTTGTAAGTCTTTTTACTCTATTTAAATATTATTAAGTTAAGTTTAAGTTCAAGTGTTTTAAGTTTGAGAGTAGGTTAGGTTAACTTAATAACCTTGGACTAGGCTTAGGTTTGCGTTCGAAGAAGCTTGACCCAAGCCCAACCAAATCCTAATCCCTAAAATGGTTTAGCCCAAACTCTAAACCTAATTTAAACCTAACCCAGGACTGACACAACCCAGACCTGACTCTAACCTAACTCAGGTCTAACCTCACCCAGGCCTAACCCAATCTAACCTAAACCCTAAATCTAACCAAGGTCCGACATAACCTATACCTGAATCAGCCTAACCTAAACACTAAACCTAACCCGGGTCTGACCTAACAATCAGTCCATTGTTTAAATACTTTTCTTTTCCACATCAATTAAAGCCAATAATAGACCTTGCAAACTTTCAACAATTGTTTGAAATATTCTTTCAGAAACACATTAATTTAGCACTGTTTTGCTCTATTGTGCTGGCAAGATTACTCTTTATGGTGTTGCAAGAATTATACTTCTTGTGCTATTAATATGAGTAATTGAATGATAAATCAAATGGTATTATAAATTTCCTTTTTTAAAATATAACAAATTCATTAAAATTAATATCAAATTAACTAAATTTGTTTGTTAAATAAAACATCTACAATTCATAAAACCTCTTATGCTAAGTTGTTTTTTTGCATTCATACAACTGATTATTTTTCAACAACAAAACCAAACAACATTTAATTATTATTTTTCTTTTTTTGCTTATATAGAAGCAGGATACAAAAAACATTTACCAAATTAACACTAATCCCCCTTGTAGTAGACATTGAAATAAGGCTAATGATCCTTTCAAGCTTAAAGTTAAAACAACAAAAAAACATCCAACACTACCCGCTCATCATTTTGTTCCATAAAATTCAACTCAAAGATGTGTTCTTTTCAGGAAATTATACATCTTCAACTCAAAGATGTATTTTTTTAAGCTCAATCAAAATCTGAAAACACAACAAAAAAGAGTTACTCGCAAACAACAAAGTTAAGTGGAAGAATAAAATACTCATTCACAACAACATCTCTATCAAAGCTGATTTCCTCCTTGACTCCACCTTTCTCTCCAAAGGCGGAGGCTTTCGTGCTGCAGAACCAGAATTAGAACCAATGCCAGACTGTTGTGAAGAAGACGTTTAGTGCACATCCTTAGGTTGGCTGCGAGGTTTTCTGTTAGCCTCCTTACCCCAAAACCTCACCGCCGACACCGACACCGTAGCCGATGGCGGCGGCGTGCTCCAACAATGATTCAATGTTATTACCACGACAATGCTGTCATAAGGTCAATCCGTAATAAGCTGGGGAAAAACTTGGGCCGCGGGGTTGAGCGCAAGACCGCGTTTAATAGAAATTCACAATAACTTTTTTGGGATAAGCAAGTCGAACACACAGAACAAATGAGAGGACTGCGTTTTCAAAATGCAACCGCAACTAAAAAAGTTGCCCCAAACATGACCTAAATTTCACTTGTTTAATTTAATAAAACAAATGGTGATTATTTGATCATAAATGAACACATAAAACATTAGAAGAACCGATGAGCACTTCATTCACTGGTCACTCACATCTTTAGTTCTTTCAATTGACAGAATAGTTCATAGCCGAACATATCATTTAGATCGAATTTGCTCATTGACAAACATCGATATCCGCTATCACTCATTTTACAACACTAATGTCTATCATTGCCATCAAGAAATGAAGACATCCATTGCCATAAAACTATCTATTCATCATCAATACTCTATACATTATCATAGTAAACAACTCGAATGTCCATGCCTTGAAATGTTGGCTTCTTCATATTCAAAATGAATAAAACCAAATATAACGAATTTTAGGGTGCTAATTGCCTATTTTATCCATTATATTAGTTGTAGTTTTGCATCATTATTTTGTCTTTATTTGGCGGCCTTTCCAATTGTACAATAGCACTCAGATATTTTGAATCTAAAGTGGTGACTGTTTTGAGCACGTGGACCCTCAAAAATTTTTATATTTATACCTTGCTCGCATTGTTCTTTCTTACAATTGCTCCGTTGCGCCGCCTACGT